ACACTACCGCCAGCAGGTCCCTTGAGTAGGCCGTGAAAACATTCAAAACCAGAAAGTTAAATTTGAACTAACATGACAAGCCTAAACCATACACACATTTATATACTTCCACCAAAAAAAACTATGTAATTCAATTTCAAAGAAACAAATTGAAAACAAACGAAATACGAATTACAACAGAAAATGAAATGTTCATCACTTTCAAATGAGTGAGTGAGCAGCATAAATTCCAAGCCAATAAATAATCTGTAACCGTGTAGTAAGATAGTATTAATACACATAGTTTGTGTGTTAATACTTAGTTAATGAAATTTGCTTGGAATTTTATTGTAGAATCGCAAACCCTGACATCGAAAAGACTTGCTTACTTACTGTAGTCTAGTGTGTGTGTGTGTATGTGTGTGTGTGTGTGTGTGTGTGTGTGTAATGTTTATATTATGAATGTCGCTAAACTTTGTAAATAAATGAATATTTTTCTTAATATACACTAAATTTTTCGTCAAAGAGGACAGAGATTTTCGTCAGATGAAGAGGCAAACACCTTCGTGAACAATTATTTTACAGGGAAAAACGCCGAGTACTATTTGGATGGGTTACAGAGATGGGAGCATCGCTAGGAGAAGAGTGTAGAGTTACAAGGAGACTATGTTGAAAAATAAAAAAATTAAATCTGAAAAAAAGGTCTTGTATCTTTGTTAGTTCGGAAACTTTTAAGACCACCCTCGTACTTTTATTACATTTAGAACACACCAGCTTTATTTATCTGTAGAGTAAAGACAATGAAGTGATTCGTTGAGGGAGTCAAACTATACTAGAATAAGAGCTTTGGTAAGTAGTTTTATATAAATTAAAGAAAAACCTACTGTTTACACACTCACCGATACATGTCATGAGAGTAAAACCTGAGCGCCAAGTGCCAGTTTATTAAACAACTACTCAATCGTCACGGTGAGCGCGATTGTCACGGTGAGCGCGTTCGACGCAGCGATTGGCCCGCACTGAAATCTGCACCAATCGCAACGCCGAACGCACTCGCTGTCGAGAGCGAGTTGATGTGAAGTTAACTCACACTTGGGCATCGGATCTGACTGCGAGCGTATTTAACATCAACGTCGACGGGCGGCGGCCGTGTTTAGCGTTAGACTGGACGTTTCACTCCTTGAAAAACATCCCCCTCAGGACCAAAACTTGCTGAGCGTCCCCGAAAAATACACGTATGACCATCAATCTTTAATAGATATCCGTGCTGTCTATCTTTAATCAAATGTTTTGGGTATTCTACTATATACTAAAGAGGACAACTCGTGTGCGTTTTGTGCTGATTGACAGAAACTATAAATGGTATTTATTCTTTGATTTTATTAATTTGTCTATATATAGAATAGTAAAGTATTTATTGGAATGTTTCAAAATTTCACGAGAATAACATGGAGAAACTTCATTTTCTAATACATTGTGGAGTAAATCTAACACGGATGAAGAGCACAGCTGTGACCAAAAATGTAGTAAAAACTACTTGTTGGTTAATCTTAAAGCCCCAAAAGGTTACTTAATTGATTGTTGAGTAAACAAAAAATACTTACGATTATATTACCTACATAATAGGCTAGTTGACTCAATTTCAAAACTTGGTTAATTATATACTTTAATATCTATTTTATCCCAAAATACCTATATTTTAAAGAAAAAGCAATACTGACATTACGTATTTTGTATTTAAAAAAAAAACAATTTAAATTGCCCTTGAAAACGTTGAATAGTGTCATGGCGTCTCGAATGACGTCATAGTCTGCGTAATAAAACTGTATTAAGGTGAGAAAATTTGCTAAAAACGAAAAACAATAAGGTGTAACCTGCTCTGTTGTATAAAAACGTCAACAACAACAATGATGTTTTGCGTGGCGTGACGTAACACTTTCTGATTGGTGTTCGCTGTTACGTGACTTAATGCCTATTTTGTTAGAATTTAATTTTTAAAAATATTAATAATCTTTAACTTTATGAGAAATAGACTGTTTTTTTTTTAAATCTATGTTTCTTCATTTATAATTTGAAACTATAAACCAAGCAATTAGTTATTAGTGGACACAAGCCTATTTGGGATAGAAAACAGCAAATTATTGAAATGAAATAAATAAAATACAACAACATACAAAAACAGAAATAATATCTTGCTCATAATATCTTTAACCTATCTAACAAGCTCGCTTTGATCACTCTAACTTAGAAACAACAATGACGCAAAAATAAATATTTGGCAGACAAAGTTGAACAAGCAGGGTAACGAGCCCCTTAGGCCACGAAGCATACCCAACGGATTGTAGCGAACAAATTAAATATATATTTAAATAAAGATTAATTAAATGTAGTATCACATTTTCATAGGAGCGCTACTCATTTGTTTGTCTCAAGAGTGTACAAGAGATTAAATCCTGTAAGGAGAATTCCTGTGCCTCCTGGTTACATCATCAAATAATAGTTTGGCAAGAGACTTGGACTCGTCAAACTCGGCCTTTTGGTCTAGTGGTCAGTGGCCCTGATTGCTAAGCCAGAGATTTTCGTTTGGGTTCGATTCCCACCCAGGACAAATAGTGTGATGAGCACGGTCATTTGTTCTGTGTCTGTGTGTAACTTAACTTTATCTATAACATGTGATTCAGTTAGTTACAGTGGATCTAATAAAGTATGTATCAAAAGAGCAAGACACTTTCTATTTATAAATCAAAGAGATGGGCACTTCTTATAATAAAAATAAGCGACATATTTATTTTAAGCAGATCAATTTATAAATGTTAGCTTGCGAGAGTACAGTTAATTGTTCTAATAGGTTTAGAACACGAAGGCGGGTTAGATACACGGTATTTGTTGTCTCATTGGCGGAACACATATTATGTCATTTTCATATGCGTTGATTGGTGCGTAGACAACAATATTGAAATTACGCAATTATACTAGTTTTATCCCGCTGCTTCGTTTACTTAAAAGTAACTTACCTTTACTCATCAATATTATTTTTTCCCCATCCTTTTAAGCGAGTCGATGGATAGTTTAGTCGAGTCAAAGTTTCAGTGGGATTGCATTAATAAAACATGTTTGCTCGGTAACGTTTAGCAAACAATATAATTTGTTTTATATTTTTAATTTAGCATAAAGTGACTATCTCTATTTATCCTGAGCGATTCACAGATGATCGATCATCAAATGTACTCGAGTACATTCTACAATAACAATAATGTGCAATATAGTTTCTACTTACTATTACTAAATATTTCATAACTGATTCTCATCAACCCTTTAAATAATCGTCTGGTCATTCAAACCGCGTGATTTATATATACTCCAACCCAACAAACATCTGCTAGTTTCTAATAAAAATAAAAATAAAAACATATTTGGTAAATGCCCTGAAGCCCCGCCGCCCACCGCCTATCTGGTCCAATTTCCCATGATTGAGGCTTATTTTGACCTTTACAGTGACAATGCGTGACCGTTTCTATCTTTAGACATCACAGATTACACACATAAAATACTAAGGTAAATAAAAATATGGCCAGATTTCTTACACTATTTTAGTTAGTATTGAAAGCAAATTTATCTTTAATTCTTATTTCAAATATGTTACGAAATGAAAAGGTAACCTATTTTAATCTAAAATGTTCACCAACAGTTATTTTACCTATCAGACAAGTGCGATCACGTGTAATCAGAACGGGCACGTGTAAAAGAATGTGTGGCATTGACAAAAAGGGCATGGGTTCGTAATGTGGGGCTGTGGGCCCTCATCATTTCAAGGATACATGAATTAATTGACTAAATGAAAGGGCTCGTGGGTCTCCAATGAACCTATTTATGCAAATTTTTTTAGGAGATTATGAATAGGTTTTGATTGTGAAATATATGAGTAAAAAAACATTTTCTAGGATACATAATTATGTACTAGGCGCTCGTACCTTATTTTTTTTTATATGATGTATGGTTGTTGTCTTCAGATAGCCTTGACAACCTTGCGCGGGCTTTCGGTGAGCGCTGAGGGCTCTCATAGCACCGTTGCATCGCCCATATTAATAGCAAATTGACGATGCGCGCGTGGTTTTAAGGTTAGGTATTGAACTTATGATAACAGTAATAAATTCATTGTAAATAGATTTTGACTTCATAGTACAACATAAATTAAGTGATTAACAACTGAATTTAGTAAATAAATTAATTAATTTATCATTGTTTTGTTTTTTTAATACTTCAATTCTTCATCTTTAATAACATCGGTTTAAATGACATGCTCCATTTGAGTAGTTAAGATATGCTCTTGAAATTTTAAAGAAAAGATTTGCCAGTGTTCCTGAGCGGGGAAGTCACTAACTTACCTTATTGTGGTTGTATGAACTAGCTTATGTGTACATAATCAATCTATCGCTATCATTCTAGTTTCTTCTTCTTTTAATCTTGTACATATCTACATTGTGATAATAAATCCATGTAAATATATATGCAAAGGCATTTCTCTTATCTACTGGCAATGGTCTAGCTGTTCGTATTTATAAAGTGCAAGTATTAGCGAAAAGCGATGAATATTTATTCGCTTTTTTTAAGCCGTGGTATATATAATTTAGTTTGGTTGATACAAAACACAGTAATAAAATAAAATACTGATTATGTAATTTCTTGTATTCTTGACTGTACATAACGGATTAGTCGTATAAGTAATTTGATAAACGCAATACTTGACGAAAAGAGAATTTGACAGAGCAAGAACTAGACGAAAAGCAAAGTTGACTTATGAAATAACTAGACGAATAGCGAAATTGACTTATGTAATTAAACTCGCCAGGACTTTGGTACTATTTGTCAATGAATTAAATTCTGACATAATTGAGGTAGGTGATCATACTAAAAGGGGCTACTATTTGTTTTATACTCGTAGGTAGGTAGGTCTTATACATGACGTGATAGATAATAAACTTCTAGAACAGTGCAGATTAAACTTTCTTAACAGATTTACTTCAATCTTCCTTTTTATCCAAAAGTGTGTAGTAACTGTAGGATCCCTTGAGTATCTGTAAAATATAAAATATATATTTAACTTTTTATTTAATTTAGTAAATGGATGAAACTGTGTAATTAAAACAACAAAGTACGAGTAATTAATTAAGGAATGAAGCTGTGTTGTCTCTAGAGAATAGAAGATAACATTTGTCTATATGTTTTATAGTGAAACAAGGAGTATTTTCTTTAATGATAATATTTAGGTCTATTTAATATCCGGTCCTTTTTCTCAGTTTTTGTATTGTGGAGCGAAATTTCGATTCAAGTGCCTATCCTTTGTGCAAACTAAGAGCGAAGCGAAAACTAAATAAAAAACAATTCCACCCATTCCAAACCAAATTTCTCATTCCAATTATAAAAGAGCGAAGTGAAAACTTTTACATCTTTTCGAATGAACATGTTTTTAGGAAAAAAAAAGGTAATAATTTCAATTACGTACGGCTACGAAAGTGGCTATATTAAGCTTTGTGAACGGACCAGCAGTAAACACAATAGTTTTCCGTAATTGGCCTCCAAGAAGCAACAGACTACGGCGCACACGTGTATTTTGTGTGTACCACTTGCTTGAGTAGATTCCCCTATCAGCTTCATTACTCTGTGGAAATCTTGAACATGAGTTAATTGTACATACCGAAGTTTTGCAGTAAATGAGCACTTTACACAAAATTTATTCTGTTTACTTTTTATGAATTGGAAAGTTAGCGTAGTCGAGTCCAGTACATTTGACACACGGTTGAGTAGGCTATTACTTCATTATATTTTATTTTTTAATTTGGTATTGAGGAGTTTAAAACAGGAATTAATGCGTACCAAACTTAAACTTCATCAATCTAACAGTATCGCAGAAATTTCTCACAAACAGGGAAGGGAGTGAGTAATTGTATTATGTTTGTAGGTTAGAAGTATCAACATTTCGAATAATATAATCACTCATCACCTGATTATGCACGTGGATGGATTGATGAACAGAACAAATTAAATGATTGTGTTACTCTCACTAATATTTGTCGGGATCCGTAAAACTAGATCAGCAGGTAAATATTAAAATTTCAGAGCTAATGTGTATATATAGAAAAATGAGGTACGAAAAAGTTGTGTGTGAAAATGTAAATTAATTTATGAAAATACAAAATATGTATAACACACCATGCACAATACTTGGTTGCTGTGCCAGCAATATAAAAATAGTTGTGTTATAAGAGCCATTAGATACTCCGCAATCCATATACGCTGCATATTACCAATGCCATCCTAAAAATAAATGATATGACATTAAAAACGAAAGATGACGGCAGGTGAGCTGACGACCTGTGGAAGGCGGACACCCAAACTCTATGGCGCGCGTTGGAAGAGTTCATGTCCAGGAGTAGATGGCAATAGGCTTATTGTTGAGAAAAACAAACAATAATTATTCCATGATTTATAATTTTTATTTTAAAATAACAGTTCAATTAAAATTACTTTTGTACAAGAATGTTCATAACTCGAGTGTTATATTTATAGTTAATTTTTTTTGGCATTTTTTGGATAAAGACTACATCAAATTGATATTAGAAGTAATCTTCATAGAAATTAATGAAACAAATTAATTATCTTACCGTAGTTAGTTGTATAGCACTCGCACACAGCATCAAAGAGCAAATTATAACATATAGGAACATGACCGGCGATAGCAATTTGTTTAAAACTGACGAGTATCTGTAAAAAAATATAATGGTATTAGTTATAACTATCATGATAATATTAAAGTTAATCTTTAAACAAACTACGGACTTGAATATTGTCTGCGTGAGATTGCAGCAGAGATCATGTCCGTGTGGTAAAGGAGTGTCACCACCTCTTTTCATCCCGTGGGTGTCATAAGACCCGTATAAGGGAGCAAACTACGCAGGACAACAGCACTGCAAAGAGAATGGAAAACTTAAAACAAACCATATAGCAACCCGTCTGGCCAGCATGGTATAGAAACCCAAAACCTCCTTTCTAAGGAGAGGCTTATGTCTAATAGTCGACTATTAAAGGGTGTTGATGGATGATGAAGTAAACTTTTAAACTATGACATTAAATAAAATATAATTGTTTATAGGAGTAAAAGAGCTCACTATTGGTATTAAGTACAGCCTGTGACCATGGCTTGAGCAACCTGGTCGAAACGCCTGACGTTTCGACCAGGTTGCTGCAACTCAAAGGTATGTTTAATTGTAATGATGTAAGATGTAAAACGCTTTTATGCGGCTGCCATGTACTTACTTCATTAGATATAAGTGATGATAATGACAGTCTTTAATCTTCTGTAAAGTTTCTTCATAGCTGACATCTGCATCACCGGTATTAAATAGACGGTCACAATTCACCCTCAAAAGATTCAATTGTTCCGTGAAAAACGTCATTATTATAACTGCATTACAGTCGAAACTAGCGACAACACTCCCTCCATAAAAACAAATAATAGAATGCTCGAAGGTAATAATCCAGTAGCCCGGCCCTTGCGTCTTATCAAAAGGGACCCACGAACTTAATATTTCAGGATATGTAATGCTGCCCTTTCTAATGATAAACTTGCGATCTGATGATGTTGAAATAAAGCTAAACACAGGTGCTAATATGACTAAGAGTACCGTTGCAGTAACGAGAACTCCATAAAAGTAGGTGACCCTCCTTGAATACTTCACATATCTAGTTATTATCAATTCTGTTAATGAATCATTTTTGGATAACTGCGTTTTCTCCAAATCAGACGAACATTTAAATAGCTCTGACCAAGGTTTCTGCCAATAAATAAATGTAAAAGATTTAAAAACACAAATTGTGCTAAGCATAGTTACAGACAGGTTTCGCATAGCTAATTCCAGATCCTTTCTGATGAACCAAAGTTCTATATATTGAGTGATAACAAACACAAATGCACAAGTATGTACAACAAGGTACACTTGCCGATATTTTTCTTTCATTAGTCCCCAAAATTGAAGGCTTTGATAAGTTGGTCCGAAAATGAAATTTTCTGAACCATTGGTATATTTCAACATTTTGTTGGATGTGATCAACTTCTATCGATTACAAATGTATAATGTGCAAATAAATCTAATAGAAGGCCAAACTACTTCGACCGTAAATAAAGCGAATTGTAAACAGACTACCATATTTTCTGGTGTGACCCGTTCTCATTTACAAAACAGATGCAACTGGGTTAATTTTTTTTATTCATGACAATAGTTTGCTTGGCTTAAAATGTTTCATGACAACAATTTTAATCCAAAAGATACAATTAAATTAAATTGATTGATTGGTATACGGTTGATACCGATATTTTAAACAGATTGATGAGATTTAGTAGTAATAGAAAAATACTTATGACGTTCTATATCTTCTTTTGAGAATTTGCAAGAGGTTGAGTTCTAAGGGTAGTACAAAACATGGATAGAACTATAATCATATGTACTGTATATCTTCTCCTCTGTGATCGAGTTTATTTTAAAGTAAATTTTCTTTAACTTATTCGTATAAGGCAATAAAAGTTTATGGCCCTTAAACATAAGTCAACGAAGATATTATTTGGTTCCCATTTCTTTTTGCTAGTGAAGCAACTCTCGTACTGTATCATAAACTTGTCTTGTAACTAAAGAAAGACTTAAAGATCTAATAACATTACCTTGTAATAACAATACAATAACAATACCTACATTCGAGTGGTGACTGATTAAGAATACGAAGTTTCACTACTACTACTCAACCCTTAAGAGCCGACTAAGGGAGCAAACTCTGCAGGAAAACAGCACTACAACGAGAAGGCAAACTTGAAAGAAATCTCATACCCAGCCCATCTGATCAGCTTGGTATAGTAGGCTAAAGCCTCATTTCTAAGGAGAGGCCTCCAATAGGCCACTAATCTAATAGTGGCTAATTAGAGGCTGTTGATGATGATGAACAATACCTTAATTTGTCTTCTTGCGTGTTTTTATTGTGTATGTGGAAAATCAAGTCGTAGCCAGTGTAAAAATCTAAGATAGTATTTTTATTACTTTGAAATGAACAAACGATATTACAAAGTTTCCGTTTCATAAGGATTGTAAAATGGAAGGGGCGGACAGCTGTCCTTATATCACAAATAAATTTCTGTCATAACAGACTGTAAAATAAAGCACTTTTTACTAACCTGTAATTCTAGGGTTTCACTATTTAGTGTCACAACTGTGGTAAGTATTGAGATATCATACTGAAATGGCAGGAAAATTGTATAGATTGGTGCCCGGATATCTTAATAATAGCAGTTCTCGGATCTCTCCTATTACAGGTCCTGCCGCAAACCCCGGTCGGATGACGGCTCGAGGAGTCCCCTCCGTCCACACCCCACGTCCACCGTCCACACGTAAAAAAGGCAATTTATATAGATAGTTGATTTAGAGTATTTTATGTTAACAAAGATTTTATGTGTTACGTGACAAGTCTAAGACTGTGTGATATGATAATCTATACGCGATATTGACAGCCAGACGTCAGCATCGACGTCGCACCAAAACGCCAACCCATGAAGGTGACTTTTGCAAGGTCAAGGTAGGCTTTTGCAAAACACTGTGGAAGTTTTGAATTCGAAGTAAGTCGTAAGTGGATTTTAACCCGGTCATATTTTGAATCCGAATTATTAATAAAGGTAATTTCATTAAACTGAAACACACATACCCCATTTACAGAAAAAACAATTCTATAAGTTTGAGGAAACTTATTTGATCATGATACTCCAAATTATTAATAAACACCCACTTCATAATGAGTTTCGAAGACTTTGCAAAGAAAACTAGATTTAACAAATCCATTGCAGAAGGAACAGTTCAGCAACCGTCGATAAGCACCCAATTGATCAAAAGTGGATGGAGCAGAGAGGAATGTAACAACATCGCCAGCAGATACTCAATATCACCGAAATTAAGAGACTCCGTAACACAAAGGACGATCATCATCCAATTTCTTAAATTCTATACCACCGGAAACGTAGATGAGGGATATGACCCACAGAATGTCATATTGTCAACAGCGTCCCTTCTATTCAAGCCGGAAGCAACGAAGAGCAAGGACCTGATCTGGCCTGATTCTAGATACAGTAACAATGAGCCTTTCTATTCTATCGTAGAAAAGCAGGAAGTCACAACTTTGTCTTACTCCACAACAGAAACTAGGTCAGAGCCGGAGACAGTTATAATAAAAGACGCACAGATTCATTGACAACTGTAACCGAGTCTTAGTATCATCCCCCGCGACTAATGCTCCAACTGTGTCCGCAATCAATTTGTACAGATTATGGAATTTTGTAGCGCTGACTATGCTCAGATCAATGACTAAGACAAACGCACAGTTAACCACCGGATTTCTCAAATCTCAATATCGCACTAACGTAGGGCAACTCATAGGAGGGGAACTCTCATCAGTTTTCATACCACCTTGCACAAGGTGTCTCCGGCAAGTGTCAGCCTATATAGTGAAAACACGACGCCCAGTTTCCTCTTTCCTGGCACTCCTGGTATACAGCAGTACAGAAGTAGACTTTTCCCACGACATAAAGGCAATTTTAGATGCAACCGTTCTTACGCACACCTCTTGGAACGGATTGGGAATTTTAAACATGATTTTTACCTTCTGTAACTTCAATAACGTCAGTTGGGTGGAAATCTATAACTATACACTTTTCGATAAAACCATCACTACCTGGAAAAAGATAATTGATTTCCTGGCAGAGTATCAAAAGAAGGGAAATCCTGACCAGACTGTACCCTGGGCTAGGGTCATCGATGACGCTTATTTCACCAAGTTCGGACCCCAAGATCACCCACTGTTCGCCTCTCTAGTACTGGTCAGCTTGGAGAGAATCCAGAATGAGGCAGTGGGGATAGAAAACTCTGTTTGGGCTCAGAGACATATAAGAGTAGTAGAGCTGTGCCGTAATGCCTCTACAAAGCTAGCAGACCTCTTGAGCTGCACAGCAACAACAATAACTGCAGGATCCAGAGAAGCCACTACGATAGCCGAGATATTTAATGTTAGCGATGTGCCGAGTAGGGCTTGACTCGAGTCAGACTCGATTCCTGCTTTAGACTCGCTTATTCGAACCCCAATTTATTTTGATTCGAGTACGCCGGACTCGATTCCGGCACTCGAGTCAGGAAGAATCGAATTTGTACTCGCTGACTCGATTCTGTTTAGCGATTCCATGTGATTCGAATCTAGCATACGAGTTAGGTCGACTCGCTCGTACTCGATATCTATTTACATAAGCAATGATGTGACGCCTAGTAATACAACTTTGAACCTGCAATTTTTTGTTTTGTATTAGTAAGCTGTTACTGAGAGTGAATTTAATTGTTTGTTAATACTAGCATTGAAGTTATTTGATTGTAATTAACTTTATTACAAAATGGCGCCGAAAAAAGCTTCAGGTGTATGGAAGTGTTTTGAGAAAGTGGACGGCGATAAAATAAAGTGCAAAACCTGTGATTCCGTATTTAAAGACTTTAAAAATACAACTAATTTGTTGAAACACCTAAAAAAAGCTTATCCTATCATTTACTCGACTCACATTCTCAATTCTACAACGACCCCCGCGCAGAGTGATGCCGATTTATTAAGTGAAGCTTATGATTCTGGAGTCGGAAGGCCACTCAAAGAAAACAAGAACGTCAATCTATGCCAGCCAATCACAGACGGCGAAACTCAACCACCCCGAAAACGGACACTTCAAATGACCTTTCCGTCTAAGCAAGTTATAAAGATAAATTCTAAAAATGTGGATAAAGCGTTAATCAGAATGGTGTGCAAATGATTGTGTTGAAAATAAAGGTTTTCAAGATTATACTCTTGCCCTTAACCCTAATTACGAGCTACCTTCGCGGAAGATTCTTTCGGAAAAATTGATTCCGGAGCAATATTCTATGGCAAAAAAGGCTACGCAAGAGATGCTTAAAGCAACAAATTATATTGCTTTGACAACAGATTTGTGGACATCCGATAGTAGCAAAAGTTATATGACCCTGACAATACACTTTATTAATAAAGACAAATTTAAATCTTTGACATTATCCACCAGAGAAGTTATAGTTATTATAGTATAGTTATAAGTTATCCATACGTCAGAAAATTTAGCTCACGAAATGAGAGACTTATTAGAAACTGAATGGAATATTTTGGACAAAATCATTTGCGTTACAACTGACAACGCTGCTAATATAAAAAAAGCTGTTATTGATTTTCTGCATAAACGTCACCTCAGTTGTGCAGCTCATACTTTGAACTTAGTTGTTCAAGATACTATTAAGGAAAATGAAGTATTAATTAGATTGGTTGAAAAGTGTCGAGTAATAGTAGCCTATTTCAGAAGAAGCAATAATGCTGCATATAAATTAAAACAGGTTCAAGAACAAATGCAGCTAGAACCCTTAACACTAAAACAAGATGTCCAGACTAGATGGAATTCGGTTTATTATATGCTCGAACGTCTCGACAAGGTCAAGATACCTCTTTCTGCTACAATCATTTTATTACCTGGCTGTCCAGATAATCTTAATACTGAAGAATGGATAGAGGTGCACGAGTGCCTTTGCATTTTGAAACCTGTGGAACAAATGACGAGTATTATATCTGGCGAGCAATATCCAACATTATCCTGCATTATGATGCAGGCCACTAGTAAGCCGCGCCCAAGAGGTATGCCTCTTGGGCGTGGCTTACTAGTGGCGCTAAGAAATTGTAGTCCTAAATCTGAAGTCGCTAGCAGGTTAAAAACAAAATTATTGGACGTGTTCGATAGAAGATTTGGCAGTCATGAAATTAACAAAACTGCTGCTAAAGCAACTTTCATAGATGCAAGATTTAAGAAAGCTGGTTTTGGGATCGAGCGAAATGCAGATAATGCTCAAAAATTTGTTGTTGACGAATTGATGATGTTAGAAACATTGGAATCTCAAGCTCAATTCCAGGTCCCAAATAGATCTCCACAGCCTACTTCACCTCTCGAAACACCTTCAACTTCATCTTCAGATTCTCAGCAGATAACTTCTGGAGTGACTGGCGAGAATTTATGGGAGCATCTAGATAAAAGGGTATTGGAATTTTCTAGCATGGAAAACCCTTCAACATCAGCAATTATCAAGGTGAAACAGTATGTAGAGCTACCGTATTTGGATAGAAAAGCCAATCCACTTACATTTTGGGAACTTCGCAAAGTCACCAACAACGGTCTATATAAAATAGCTTTAAAGTATTTATGCATTCCAGCCACTTCTGTGCCTTCGGAACGAGTTTTCTCTAAGGCTGGACTCTTATGCAACCAACGTCGTAATAGACTAGAATCCAAGAAGGTTGACCAAATACTCTTTTTGAACAGTTATTTCAAATAACTTTTATGTTCTTATCTATTTTGTTTTGACTGAAAACTACTAATATCTACCTTTAATAGGAAATGTTTTTTTATATATATATTAACTAGGTACTATTTTTCTGTACCTTTAGGTATAATGTTATATTCTGAGCTATTAAGTTTGAGTACCTACTTTTTTGTAGTATTAAAATGCTGGTTTGATTTCAATGCACACCATACTCTATCGAGGTATCAAGAGAATTAGACTGGGCATCTTTAAAGCTGTCTCAATAGGCTCCCAATAATATATCTTGTGTCTGAGACGTCACGAGACGTCTTGTATTTCAAAAGTGAGTCTCACTTTTAATTTTATTTGAGTCCAATAATCGAATCAAAAGTCAGCCTATTGAGACAGCTTTATAGCTTTTCGATTATTCATTTCTGTTCTAAAATCACTAACGGATTCCAGTTCTGGACCCGAATTTCTAGACTCAAGTTCTAGATCGAATTTCCAGACTAGAGTTTTGGACTCGAGTCTTAAACTCGAGTCCTGGACTAGAGTTAACATTCGAATACCAAACATAGAACTCGAGTACTGGGCTCGAATCGCGGAATCGAGTCATGATTCGAATACCGTATAAACCGACTCGAGTCGATTCTATCCACCAAAACAGCGACTCGGCACATCACTATTTAATGTGGAAGTTTTGAATTCGAAGTAAGTCGTAAGTGGATTTTAACCCGGTCATATTTTGAATCCGAATTATTAATAAAGGTAATTTCATTAAACTGAAACACACATACCCCATTTACAGAAAAAACAATTCTATAAGTTTGAGGAAACTTATTTGATCATAATACTCCAAATTATTAATAATCACCCACTTCATAATGAGTTTCGAAGACTTTGCAAAGAAAACTGGATTTACCAAATCTATTGCAGAAGGAACAGTTCAGCAACCGTCGATAAGCACCCAATTGATCAAAAGTGGATGGAGCAGAGAGTAATGCAACAACATCGCCAGCAGATACTCAATATCACCGAAATTAAGAGACTCCGTAACACAAAGGACGATCATCATCCAATTTCTTAAATTCTATACCACCGGAAACGTAGATGAGGGATATGACCCACAGAATGTCATATTGTCAACAGCGTCCCTTCTATTCAAGCCGGAAGCAACGAAGAGCAAGGACCTGATCTGGCCTGATTCTAGATACAGTAACAATGAGCCTTTCTATTCTATCGTAGAAAAGCAGGAAGTCACAACTTTGTCTTACTCTACAACAGAAACTAGGTCAGCGCCGGAGACAGTTATAATAGAAGACGCACAGGCCTCCCCGTTATGGTCCAATATATCTGCGGATAGAGCCCCTAATGCTCCCATCATCACATTAAGAGCAGAGGAGGATGTACCACAATTGGCAGCAAAAGTCAAACCATTGCTTTTCGATTACAGCTCAGTTGGTTCTAAAGGATTCATTGACCACTGTAACCGAGTCCTAGTATCATCCCCCGCGACTAATGCTGCAACTGTGTCCGCAATCAATTTGTACAGATTATGCAATTTTGTAGCGCTGACTATGCTCAGATCGATGACCAAGACAAACGCACAGTTAACCACCGGATTTCTCAAATCTCAATATCGCACTAACGTAGGGCAACTCATAGGAGGGGAACTCTCATCAGTTTTCATACCACCTTGCACAAGGTGTCTCCGGCAAGTGTCAGCCTATATAGTGAAAACACGACGCCCAGTTTCCTCTTTCCTGGCACTCCTGGTATACAGCAGTACAGAAGTAGACTTTTCCCACGACATAAAGGCAATTTTAGATGCAACCGTTCTTACGCACACCTCTTGGAACGGATTGGGAATTTTAAACATGATTTTTACCATCTGTAACTTCAATAACGTCAGTTGGGTGGAAATCTATAACTATACACTTTTCGATAAAACCATCACTACCTGGAAAAAGATAATTGATTTCCTGGCAGAGTATCAAAAGAAGGGAAATCCTGACCAGACTGTACCCTGGGCTAGGGTCATCGATGACGTTTATTTCACCAAGTTCGGACCCTAAGATCACCCACTGTTCGCCTCTCTACTACTGGTCAGCTTGGAGAGAATCCAGAATGAGGAAGTGGGGATAGAAAACTCTGTTTGGGCTCAGAGACATATAAGAGTAGTAGAGCTGTGCCGTAATGCCTCTACAAAGCTAGCAGACCTCTTGAGCTGCACACCAACAACAATAACTGCAGGATCCAGAGAAGCCACTACGATAGCCGAGATATTTAATGAAGACGTAAAACGGAAAAACACAGACCATGTGGATGACACACTTAAGAAAACACTGATGTTCGACCCGGATGAAGAGATTTAATATATAATCTACAAAAATTTACTTCCAATACCCTCTTCCTTTTCATTATTCCACACTAGCATAATAAGCACTTAAAACATTTTATATTGATCTATATTATAAAAAAAAAAAAAAACAAAAAAAAACACTATAGTTCTGTTCAGAAGTGATCAGTGTAAATAAATAAATTAAAAATAGTTATATTGCCTAAAGCGGAAAATCAATATCGTTAAGTCGTTTCTAATATCGAATGAAATGTGTGACAACGTTACTATAACTATACATTATGAAACAGTGCTAAATAATTGACACTCGATTGTGAACAAATTTGTGAACTAATACATTAAATAAACCTAAATAAACAACAAAAGCATGGTAATCTAGTTGAAAACTATATAAACAGTGATATTTAACTTCAGAGCAACATAAAATTTTAAATATTTAGTGCTAACGTTTGTATACAAAGTGATTGGAATGCGGAAAAAATTGTTTAACGGTGAGTCATGGTAACCGTTTTGCCGTGGTAACCGTTTTGCAAAAATCACTAACATGAACTAGTGATCCTAAAATTCGATAAGTACTATTAACGTTCACGTAGCTAGCTGACCTAACCTGGAACCTGACCTGGAACTGTCAACTTTGCTGTTGTAAGAAACCAAAGTCTGATAACTCGAATACTCCAATCCGTGTACCACCTCTTTCTACTTCACCTCTTCAAACTGTTACTGGATCTGAGTTCCCCACAAGCGTCCACATAACAATACGGAAAAAGATAAACAGCGGCGGAAGCAATACCATTAACTCTGAAGGCGACCTGAGTTTTGTAGATGATACACTAAATAGCAGTTATAAGTTACATGATAAAGAAACTAAATACAATAACACAACTTTTCATAGGCTCGAGAAGCTCCTTGACCTAAAATTTGAATCAAATAAAAAATCTTTAATTTCAGAAATTAAAGAGTTCATAAATACCGAAGTCTCAAAAACACTACAATGCCTAAGGAACGAGTTAACTCAGAAAGAACATCAAAAATGTCAATACGATTTCACTGGAACACAACAAGACTAAAACCGAAATAAGTAACTTATCCAAACAGATTAAAAACCTAGAATCTGAATGCGCTAACTTGAAAAGTCAACTTCAAGAACTAAAGTCCCACGAACCACACCCTTATGACACTCCTAACTCCGTTGCGAAATATAAAGTCTGAAAACCATAAAAAAATTGTACTGTTTGGCCTCAACGAACACTACCAGGAGACTGAAACTGATCTACATGAACAAATAATACACATCTTTGAAAATATAGCCAACTTAAACCTCACAGGTTATATTGAAGATATATTTAGAATTGGTAAAAGAGGAAGTCGCAGACCAGTAGTAATTGAACTATTAAGCAAAAGGATGATACGATATCTACTCCAAAATAATCAATTCTTTAGAAACACCGGAATGGCTATATCAGAATTCTTAGACAAAAAATCTGTTCAAGAACGAAAATTACAAAGACAGATGAAAAATTACTTAAAAAGACTGTTATACATTCAAAAAAATTACAAAACATCAATAAAATAAGAAATAGTCATAATATATCAAAAACAATGTGGCAAATATTTAAAGAGCGCACTAACAAAATAACAAAAAGAGCGAGAAAGAACATTAAATTAAACATCCAAGAAAACATCATAAAAGACCCAGTTATCGTTACAAACAAGTTTAACGAGTATTTCGTATCAGTAGGCGGGGCGCAAACGGGCCGCCCAGTGATGAACCCGACGAAAAACTCATTCTACATTGAGCCAGTTGACCCTTACGAAATACTTAGAATCATAAATAACCTAAAAAATAAACACAGTTTTGGCTTCGACGAACTTCCCCCGACATTAATAAAAAAATGTGCAAAAGAATTAGCAGTACCAATAGCACACCTCATAAATCAATCATTTTCTGAGGGAACAGTGCCTAATCTTTTAAAAATCTCGGTCATTAAACCTGTCCACAAAAAAGGCCCCCAAACCATCTGTAGCAATTACCGACCAATATCGTTATTGCCCTCCTTCTCAAAAATAATGGAAACCGCTATGACCACGCGCTTGTATTCGTATTGTGAAAAATACAACATCTTCGATGACAGTCAAAATGGATTTAGAAGGAACAGATCGACAACCAATGCCGTCTACAGATATATCCAAAAAACCCTAGACATAATAAATGATAAAAAATACGCCATAGGCATCCTACTTGACATGAGCAAGGCATACGATAGAGTCCAATTTAACATTATTCTTAAAAAGCTTGATGGTATAGGGGTACGTGGTATAGCACATAAATGGTTTTCTTCCTACCTAAACAATCGTACTCAATACGTTGAAATAGAGCATTATAACTATGAAACTGGGGATATTACATACGTCCAATCACAAAAATCTATAGTTAATATATCAATCCCGCAAGGCAGCGTCCTTGGGTGTATTCTATTTCTGATATATATAAATGATTTACCAAAAATTATAAATGCGACTAGCGTCCTATTCGCAGACGATATCTCTGTAGTTTTACCGTGTACTGACACAAGACACTTGAATAACCAAATACACCAAAGATTGTCTGAAATATCTACCTGGCTAAATGAACACAACCTTAAATTAAATTTTGCCAAAACAAAATTAATGCAATTTAGACCATATCAAAAACGCCTTTTAACATTCAATTTTTCATACAATAACGCAAAACTGGAGTGCGTTGATAACTTTAAACTATTAGGCTTATTTATTGACACAAATTTAAATTGGAAAAACCATGTCCAAAACGTATCAAATAAATTATCAAAATTTACCTATGCACTTTACGAGTTAAAAAGAACTACGGACATTAAATCGGCAAAAGCTGCTTATTACGCATACGCGCACTCCTGGCTTCGTTATGGTATAGTGCTCTGGGGAAATAGTGTGGACGCTGACAAGCTATTCAAACTTCAAAAAAAGTGCATTCGAATCTTTTCCAACATAGATGGCATGGCTAGCTGTAGACCACATTTCATTAAATATGGTGTACTGACACTCACATCCCTTTACATTCTTGAAATATCTCTTTGTCAACAAACACGTGCCTCTTTTTCCTTCGAACCAAGACCACTACACTCAACCTCGTAGCTTACGACATAAAGATATATTGGCACTGCCAATATCCAACCTCTCAATCTACCATTCGGGTCCGTATGTTATGTATATAAAAATATACAATAAAATACCACAGACACTTAAAGATTTAAAATCTGATAGCATATTTAAAAAAAAGTTAAATAATTACTTATCACAAAAAGCATACTACTTTCTGCAAGAGTTTTTTGAAGATAGGCCACAATAATAGTAACAATAAATACTGTTGTTTGTGATAATGAATTTTAAATTGATTTGCAAAACTAATATTCTATAGAAATAAATTTATAAATTGCATTTATAGGAAAAATAATTAGTGTTACGTTATTCTTCATTGTAACATAATAATATATGTAATTGGTAATTTAATTTAATGTATAAATATTTTAATTTAATGACATACATGATAACGCCTAATACCAACCAAATTGCTGTGCCCTAGCAGGGTTTCATGTCTTTAGAACCAATATCGTAATTAACACCTTATGTACACATGAACGCAATAAAAACTTTGACTTTGAGTTACAGGTAGATATTCAAATACACTCACAAACATATGCGCAGGCGCACATGCACACGCACATACAAACTTTATAAATTGCAAAACCACTCCAAATTCCACAAGACAAGCTAGACCTAGTGTGAAATTGATACCTAAAAATCCTTTACCTAATTACCTGTAAAATTTATAGTGCTACAATGCTTGAATATAATAATGTCCAACAGAATTAAGGGAGTTACCTTCTTAGAGTTTTCGTAAATAAACGATCTATTTATGAAAAAAAATATCAAAAAATGTACGGTACTAAATTAGGAATGTCTGAAGATAACAGGAGCTATGTGTGGTTAGCTGTCGCTATGTTAATATTGTGTAGCTTTGTTAAAAGTACTTTAATTTAACTCCAAGCATCTCTATATATCACGCTTATGTCAATTTATTGTTTGAAAATATGCTCGACATAAGATAGTAGTTAAGAATAACTAAAAAATTATAAAAATGTCAATGTTAACAACGTTAAATACGTTCGTTTAATCTTGGAAGCCTACAATTACGTTTGTTATTGTTTTTAAATATAGAAAATAAAAATCTATTCAAAAAAATAAGTTTCTTTAAAAAATGACTACTAAGTTATTAGATAAACAACATTTGATGGTTTCAATGGTTTAATCAACTATATAATAGAATAATTCATATACAGGTGTTAATAAAAATTACGTTATATTATTATATTATACACAGGTGGTCTGAAAAGTTTCCGACCTCAACAGGAAGATGGCAACACTAGTTAATTTCGTTGTTCATCTGTTGACAGTTACTCGCCAAAGTTTCAGCCATTTTGGACGCGCAGTTGTTATGCAACAGTCGTTTGAGTGAGTTGATCTGAGTGTTTTTATGAACCTGGACAAAATCGAGTATCGAGCTGTCATTAAATATTTGTTTTTGAAAGGCAATACGCAAATTAAATATGAGTAGGATTCTGTGTAAAGGGACTCTGCACCATCATTTACCACAGTGAAATTTTGGGCAGCTGAATTTAAACGTGGCCGTAAAAGCTTGGG